TTTGCTCTCGGCACTGTGTCTGCTGTGTATCTTCATTCATTCAGACAAAACTGCAGTATCAAAGGAATGCCTTTGAGGTCATTCGAGTGCAAGCCCTCTGCATACAACTGTGCAGTATAGTGTGAGTTTAACTATCAGAAACAGAGCTGAAAGTTGTGTCTAAATTGTGTACAATTGTTTAAAATCTTGTGCCGAAATAAGTGTTAAGATTTCAATGTACCTAACAATAAAAATCTGAAAAGGACGTATTTTTTACGGAGACGGACGGATTTAGTATTTATGCAATAGTCATAGTTTTAGACCTCGTAGATACTACGAATTATGATATCTGGTCTGATCAAGTACTGAATGTTTTGCCTACAAAATCAATTCCTAGAAATCATGCAAGATTAATGCCGGAATACTGAAACGTTACTTAATTTTATGTCGTGCTCAAATATCGTGCCATCTCTGTCATTTTACAAAGAATTTGTAGAGACAGAACTATACTTAAGTACGACTTAAAATTGAGTAGCGTTTCAGTATTCCGACATAAATGTGCCATGCAAGATTATGGTTCTCTAAAGAAATAATTATTTTAGAAATTCCATACATCTATAGCTTCACGACGGAAACTCCTTGAAGGGTTAAAAAGGGATTCTTAGCATCCTCAGATGTTCAATTTTCCAGTGAAATGCTTCCAATTTGAAGGTTATCGATTATGTAGAGCATTGTTAAGAACGTTCTTACAGACTGACAGACAGACAGACATATTTCGATTATAAGTTTTATTAGGGAGTTGAGAAGTCATACAAGCTTGTTATTGGTGTTATTGTGAAAAAATCGTACAGGGCAATAGATTGAAATGTAAGGATTACGACTTAACCCCTCGAGCGTCCTTATGAGCACCCGGTGGATCATAAGAAAAAATGCTCCATGCTGCTTTCTCTTTTATAAAATCTATTATTAATGTTTTGTTTTTATTTTGACTGTATTTTTTATTTCTATTTTAATGATCCTTGTTTTCGTGTGCCAATAGCCAAATAAATGCATTTTCTTTCTTTCTCCAAATGTCACGTGTGCACCCGTTGGATCATAAGGAACGCGGACGCTCGCCGGGTTAACCCTTTGAGTACCGTCATTATAGACACAATTAAAGAACTATAGGTTGCGGTCACCGGTGTCCTCGCGGTGTTTGACAGTTTAAATAGGATTTACTTATCACAATACCTTATTTATCGAGTGATAGTGTGAATTTTTATGAACACGAATCAATTCAAGTGTAAATAAATAATAATAGTAACAAATAATTCTTTATTGACAAAAAAATAACACATATATAACATAACATCACGCCTTTTATCCCCGAAGAGGTAGGCAAAGGTGTATTATGCTACTGTACAATGTAACACCCACTTTTCACTATTTATGTTATGAGTCCCATGTAAAAGGGGGTGAGCCTATTGCCATATACCTGGCTTATACCACAATTTCAGACTCCGTGCTACTACTGAGAATTTATAAAATACCCAGTAGTACTTTGCCCGACGCGGGAATCGAACTCGACACCCCTTGCCCGGCAGTCGCACTTGCGACCACTCGGCCAACGAGGCAGTCTTTTTTTAACATGAAATTTAATACAAATAAGCAGAATTCCCTGACCCTTGAACTAGTTTACATTGTAATTACTAGGTATATTTTAGGTTATATTATTTGTATTTTAAGTTGTATGTATTTATTGATACTTAAGTTATTTAAATTTATTTTAAGTTTATTAAATACAAACAGAATTATTAAGTTAGTAATTGCAACGATTGGAAGATAAACACACTCGATATACCTATAATAATAAACTCGTCCCTTATGTTTCCTTTTTAATAACACGCTATTGGCAATTTAGGTACCTATAATGAATTACTACAATACGAATCTTAACTACAATCGGTATCTGTAACTAACTATATTTTGACCCTGGTTTCTGTAACCACTCGACTGCCTCGTAGCCGTGTGGTCGCAAGTGCGACTGCCGGGCAAGGGGTCTCGGGTTCGATTCCCGGGTCGGGCAAAGTATTACTAAGTTTTTTTTAAAAAATCTTTGTAGTAGCACGGAGTTTGGAAATGTGCCCGGTATGGCAATAGGCTCATCCCCCTATTACATGGGACTCATAACATAAATAGTGAAAAGTGGGTGTTACTTCTGTGTGCGCCTCTGCCTACCCCTTCGGGGATAAAAGGCGTGATGTTGTTGATGTTGTTGTTGGTTTCTATAACCACTGGAATAATGAGGTGGTTAAACGATTATCTATATTAGCTAAATATTTATTTAATTTAAAAGATCCTTAACGTTTAAGAAATAGGGTCCATTTTTCTTTATTGCCCATTAAAAGCTGCCTAGGTCTAGCACTAAAAAGGAAATTAGGCTCCAAAGTTTGCGTAGGCCGATCGCAATATTATTTATTTACTAGCCTTCCCGTATAATTACCGACGTGTGCGTAACTTAATGGTCTATTAACCTTTATAATCTCAGAGAATTCTGTGTCAGCGAAAAAACGGCGAGGTTTTATTTTTAAAGTTTGTAGGTAATTCGAGTTACATTACGTATTTACTTAGTCTTTTTGTATTTAATGATTTATAGTTTGTAGGCAGTGGTGTAGAGTACGGCGCGTCGCGTGTACGAGGCGTCGCGTTCCGATCGCGCCTCAAAGAGCCATCAGACTACCACAGATGGGGCCCAACAGGGCTGATGCCGATACGAAGCCGCGGAAGACTTAACGGGTTGCCGGGGCTCCGGCTCGAAGTGCAGGAGTAGGAACGGGGTGGTTTTTAGTCAGTAAGAGTCTGACACTACCTCTCGCCTCATCCGGGTGGGAGAAATCATTTAATGATCCCCCCCCCTCAAAAAAAGGCAGTGGTGTAGAAATAGAGTGATTACTACCGATACTTATTTGGTCAAAAACTAAACGATTTTGATAAAATTATGTATGTGAATTTAGCTTGAAGTGTTGCTTTAAGTATAACTTTTTATTTCGGCGTTGAGTTTGGGATTAAATTTACTGTTGAGTCATGTATTTCATTTCACGCAGAACAATGATTGTGTGTAATATGTATCAGTGTGTTTTTGTTGGTCTGTTGGTTCAGCTTGATATACCTAAAAGTTAGCAATTTAAATGTTAAGATTCTACGGTAAATAATTACATACATTATATAATATTAACTTATACTAAATGTAAATATATACAACTTAAAATATGAATAACTATGAACTAAAATATTTACACCTTAAAAAAAATAATAAAGCCATCACAAGGCACCAAAAAAGAATTCTACGTTTCGACTATTAAATCTCATTATCAACAGTGACAGTACTCCAATGGAACCCATAGAAGTATTCCTATTAAAAGTACGTTCACGCTTGACGCTGACCCTGGTCAGATCTTACAACACGAAAGATAATAGTAGTACCTACAAGATATAGTCTTCTTTGTCATTATCACACTAACACAAAATACACTATCAGATGCACTCCTAGCATAACATAATATCCAAGTTTATTAACTTATAGCGCAAAGTTTAGCATAATAATTATATATTAAGTATTCGCTAAGTTCTCAATTAGATGTCTGCTTGCACCGTTATGGAGCGGGCGTGTGGTTTAATGGTACGTAATGCATGCATTACCAAGATGGTGTGATAGGTAAATATTTTAGTAAAAGTAGATAGGAACTGTTATGTTATGATGATGATCATAATACCTTTGGTTTTATAACAAAACGTCTTGTCAATATATCCCCGCAGAAATAGGCAGAGATGAAGATAGTAGGCAATGAGACACCTTCTTTCACCAGTTTCATTATGAGGCCAAGAGGGCTTACAATATGGGGCACAATAGGGTAGGTGCCTAATTTTTATTTTATGTCCGTCTGGTAGATTATTTTAAATCATTAGACACGAATTTTTTATTTTCTTACAGAAACGAATAATTTCGACGATATATTGATTTGAAAAGTCGCGTGACGTCACTTCTATGTACATTTTATACGTAGAAATGACGTTTTAGCCCCCACTTCTAAACTTTGATTCGTTTTATCTATCTAAGTATTATTTTATTATACAACAAAATAAAAAAATCTATTATTTTTAGTTTATTATTTTTTCATTAGGTACGTAATTTACGGACTAAATAGAAATAGATTTTAATTTTCATACCCCGTCATCATCCCAATTCCAACTCAAAGAAAGGAGTTTGACAAAATGGCGGACACACTATCTTGAAACAACGACTGTGGCACCTGGTAACTATAGACTTACACGCCGAACATACACACATTGACACGAAGGACACCTGCCATTTTCTAAAGTCTAGTAACGTATAAATAACCCACTGACATTTTTGTGCTTCAATCATTTCTAAGTGATAATAGATTCGCCTTTTCTTCAACGTATTTGTACTATTATGATCTGCTAGCGACCCGCCCCGGCTTTGCACGGGTGCAATATACATGTATTGTATTATACATATAAACCTGCCTTCAAAATCACTCACAAAATCCGTTGCGTAGTTTTAAACATCGAAGCATACATAGGAACAGATAGACGGCGGACAGCGACTTTGTTTTATACTATGTAGTGAATCGACCTGATAATTGGTCTCGGTACTCCTTGCTCGGAACAACTTTCCTCATATCTCCTATACTAGCTACTTACGCGCGGTTTCACCCGCTCTACTCGGCTCCTATTGATTGTAGCGTGATGTTTTATAGCCTATTGCCTTCCTCGATAAATGGACTATGCAACACAAAAAGAATTTTGCAAATCAGTCTAGTAGTACCTGAGATTAGCGCGTTTAAACAAATAAACAAACAAACTCTTCAGCTTTGTATAGTAGTATATAAGATTTAGGTACTTCTTATAAAACTGTCTAACACAACCCCTCTCCTTTGTTTCAGGTGGCGCCAAATTTAATAGAATTCGTGAAGTCACCAGTAAATATTATAGATTTTATAGCAACGCTAAGTTTTTACATGGATGTCGTGGTGGAACTGACGGTGGTGAGACAGTATGTCGATAAAGCCGACATCCTGGAGTTCATCTCCATTATTAAGATCCTCAGGCTGTTCAAGCTGACGAGGCACAGTCCTGGCCTGAAGATCCTGGTGCATACCTTCAAGGCTTCAGCCAAAGAACTGACGTTACTGGTGTTTTTCTTGGTGCTTGGCATCGTGATATTTGCGAGCTTAGTCTACTATGCTGAGAAGTCTCAGGTGAGTTGGTTTTTTATTATAGTTTTTATTGTGTTAGATTAATGCCGGAATACTGAAACGTTACTCAATTTTAGGTCGCGCTTAACTATAGTTCTGTCTCTACCAATTCTTTGTAAAATGACAGAGATGGCACGATATTTAAGGCACAACTTAAAATTGAGTAACTGTTTAGTATTCTGATATCAGAGTTGGTTGTTTATGGAAATTTTTGACATGAAATGTTGCTACATGTGCCTCAATCAAGACAGTAAATTTTGATGTTTCAAAAAATACTATATTATACTAACGATACTGTTAAAAAATGTCTATTAGCGACTCATTTTTACGAGTGAGGGTTTATGAAATGAAATGTGTTTATTCGGCACAAGACATGAACACTAGGAACAAAAAAATACACTTTAACAAAATAACAATAAAAACGTTTAAAAATAGATAGAGAGAAAAAAAAGAAGCTTAACCCCTTAAACCCCTCGAGCGTCTTTATGAGCACCCGGTGGATCATAAGAAAAAATGCTCCATGCTGCTTTCTCTTTTATAAAATCTATTAATAATGTTTTGTTTTTATTTTGACTGTATTTTTTATTTCTATTGTAATGAACCTTGTTTTCGTGTTTCAATGGCCAAATAGATGCATTTTCTTTCTTTCTTTCTTACTTTCTCCAAATGTCACGTGTGCACCCGTTGGATGATAAGGAACGCGGACGCTCGACGGGTTAAGCAATTAAGCTAAATTATAAAACAAAAACAATTTAGGGAAATCCTCCCTTAGCACTCCCTATCACACCGCAAGAAACTTACAAGCAAAATTTCAGCTTCTTCGAACTAGCAGCCGACACGCTGTGTATCAATCAGTTACTCATTCAGTCACAGAAAAGTTTTATATAATACTATCAGCCCGTCCCGGCTTCGCACGGGGTAGACAATTATTTATTTTTGAAAATTTGGATTGTTGTAGTGACATAACTACAATAGTTGGACATATACTACCGCGGAAATTTTTGTAGACATTATGATGTTATTCAATATTGTTGTACATTATTTTGTTCTATCGCTAATAGTTTCGGCAGCGCATTCGACGAAAGACATTTTAAGACTCATTTTTCTACACCTTCGGTTACGTTGTTCAAATTTTACCAAGGATCCCTAATTTTTTCCAAAATGAAATGTAGCCTATGTCAAATTGGAAGAATGTTCTATTGGTAAAATATTTTTTTAAATCGGCCCAGTCTTTTTGAGCCTATTCATTACAAACATACAAAAATAGGTACAAATCTTTCCTATTTATTAGTATAGATACAGAATATTATATTGGTACCTCGGAAACAACATCAAAAACGAACTATTCGAAGCATACCAAAAAATCCAATACAAATAAACAAAAATCCCGTTATATGCGAAATACCTGATCCATTCGATCAAATTCTGCAAATAACAGGCTGCTCAATCATAATGCATCACTGGTGTCGAAATGTGAGCAAACTTTCCTTTCTTCTGTCAATAATTTCGGCTGAATGATTGTGTAGTCGGTTTGACTTCAGTTTTGGGGAATAGAGGACGGAATGGTGCGGTTATTAAGTTGAGAGTAAGTAATTGTAAACAACCATCAAGTCTTGGATTTTATTGTAGTGGTTTATGACTGTATGCATTCATTTTGTAGCTACTTATAACAATGTAAACACAATGTAAGCGTGGGAGAACCATGCTTCGGCACGAATGGGATGGCTCGATCGGAGTGATACCACGGCCTCACAAAAAACCGACGTGAAATAACGCGTGCGTTGTTTTTTGTTTTGTCCCCAGTCTTCCCAATACTCGAATCCTCCACAATCCTCAAATTCCCAATACGCAAAAGGCCGGTAATGCACTTATAACACCTTAATGTTTCCGGTGTCCATGGGCGGCGCCGATTGCTTACCACCTGATGTGATACGTCTGCTCGTTTACCGATTATGCTATAAAAAATCCACACACACATCAAACCCCGCTTCTAAACAACGATTAGACTGCACAAAGAGTTAAACAAAGATGTCTGTCCATCTTATTATAAGACAAACTTTAAGATTGCTAACAAAAGTCAATGCAGTACTTCAATACTTGCTGATCGTCCACTAAAAGCAATGCAAAACCAGTATAAATTGTCCGGTAAATGCGTTGAAAGATCATACAAAGCTGGACCACGATAAACTGGAATTGTGTAGTTTCATCTGTAGCCACGTATACACGGGTCTACCGGTTCAATCAGAGATCCAATATCAAACACGAAGTTTCTATTGTTAGTCGGCAAATAATTTCAAGAAAACGATTCGGTTTTCACTCACACTATTACAGAAAACGTATATGTATTCATATGCTCAGCGTTTGTGTTCGGTTTCACACACACAGTCACTGAAAATGTATAAGGAATTATGGATGTTCTGTGTCTGTGTGTGTGTTTGTTTAGGTCAAAAGGGACATCATGTCTTAAAGTGTACCTTTTGTACATGATTCTTAACTTAAGATAGATGTCTTACTAAGAATTTGTAAGAAAAACTTGTCAAGAGCGGTTTGGGATCATGTTCTCTTATATTTGCCTTCAGGGTTGTCGTCTGGGGTTGATAATAATTCAATGTTAAAGTATATATACCTAAACTGATGACTCTGTCCCATGGCTGAGGATATTAACTACAGAGCAACATATCAGTCCTTGGGTCCTTCTTTAGGCACTAAATGTAACTATCATGTGATTGACTATTATGATCATGCTATTAAAAATACATTTCGGTGAGTGTGCGGGGGAATTACACAACTTGATTCTTCCTAGTCCTTTCCATCATCGCGGGCCTGCGGACGGCGAGCATGGGTGGCTCCCCGTCCGACCAGAAACAGACCCGAGTACCTTTGAGGCGCGTCGCGTTCCGCGCGCGCCTCAAAGAGCCATCAGAACACCACAGATGGGGCCCAATAGGGCCGATGCCGATGCGGAGTCGCAGAGAACCTAACGGGTAACTGGGGCTCCGGCTCGACGTGCAGGAGAAGGAACGGGGTGGTTTTTAGTCAGTAAGAGTCTGACACTCCCTCCCGCCTCACTCAGGCGGGAGCAGCCATTCGAAGATTTTCCCCCCTTCAAAAAAAATAGTCCTTTCCATCATCGTACCACAAGACAATCGGCGTAGCGTCACCGATTCATGGTAGATGTCCCACCCACACGCACACGCTTCGCATCAAGCTTCTTTGTGCGTACTGGTAAGGAGTGGAATTCTTTTCCAGTGTCTATCTGTCTAAGATTTCCTGAAGGGTGAAACCTGGAAGTCTTCAAGGACAGAGTGAATAGGTTGCTTATGGGACGACGTGCTCCATCGTAGACCGCGTCATCGCTTACCAGGCGAGATAGTGGTCTAACGTCGGCCCCTCAAATATAAGAAAAAAAACTATAATTCATAATAGAGCCCTTGAAAATAGTATTTTTATACGACTATAATTTTTAGTAAGTTTTTAATTAGTAATTCACTAATGTCAATTAATCCAAAACTTTTACTGTTGCCTATCCGACTTGAAAATGGGTCTAACCTGGAATGTGGACCTCAAGCAGTTTATAAAAGGCAGGCTATGGTTACATTAAAAAAACCTTTGAAGTTCAGTTGACCCATTCAATTGAATGAAATATAAAAGAAATTAAATATGTAACATTTATTGACATAGTCTTGAACCACTTTTAATTATTTTATACAATGACGTCACTATGACGCACACATACGTCTGAAAACGTATGCAAAGTTATTTTAATCGCTTCACATTATACGTTGGATTTTAAAAGGGTAATATACAGATTTGATATTTTTAAGTTACCACGTCAGCTGATGTTTTATAAACATATTGTTTTGTTATATAAACATGTTAACTGTTACTCGCGACTTCGTCCGCGTAGAATATGATTCCTGTTTTATCTCATGGGAGCATTTAATCAGGATAAAAATCCTATCACCTAAGTTATCCCATACCCTGTCTGTATACCAAATTTCATCAAAATCCGTTAAGTTCAGTGTGAGTGACGGACAAACATCTAAACAAAGAAACTTTCACATTTTTAATATTAGATCACAAATGTTGTAGGCGAAGGCAAATAAACATAATGTGTCCACTGTTTCGAAGTTTTAAAAGTGCTGAAATGTGGACATTTTTTTTTTAATGTTATTGTGGGTGTACTGTCATGTCAAAGCATTTATGCCCACAAAACTTATTGGTTTTTATATATATTTCTAGGTATGTATTTGGATATTACTTGTTTGTGCTCGGTGTATGGTATCAACGGTGTGGTGTACTTATGTCGCGGAGAACCTAACGGGTAACCGGGGCTCCGGCTCGACGTGCAGGAGAAGGAACGGGGTGGTTTTTAGTCAGTAAGAGACTGACACTCCCTCCCGCCTCACCCAGGTGGGAGCAGCAATTCGGTGATTTTCCCCCCTTAAAAAAATGATGTAATTATGGTGTATAGGATAATCAAAGAGTTCTTAACCGAAGCCTACTAGGTGTTGGGTAAATCTACAAAAAAAAAAAATGCTAAAATTGAACGAAAGACAGAAAGAAGAAAGACAAAACAGTTTATTTGCACCATTACAGAGAAAACAAGAAAAAAATAGTAAAAACAAAACAACACTGTATACGGTGCTAAAAGGGCAGTGCTCAGCTAAAATGTCGTGTCACTAGCGCGATTGCTCGAGTCGCGGCGCTGATTTTCAGCACTAGCCTGTTGCCAAATTCGCATATAAATTAATAAGTGTAAATGAACGGTGTCTTTATCCTAAACTCAAAGTTAACAATTGTACCGATTGAAACAGAAAATTAGAATTGACCCGTGTCACTGTGCTCAACCAATTCAATAACATGTAAATGTTAATAAGTTTCCGTGATGCATAAAAACGTGGAAAGATAATGACTTGTTAAATAAGATCAAAGTTGTTTCGGAAAAACACCTTATTACAGTATAATTGCGTATCTGT